TTGCACACTTGCTGCATGACTTCCTTCCCCACTGGATCAGTATTACCTGAGCGACTATACTTGTAATCGCATTGGTTACCTGTAGTTTTGTCCCACCTTATACCTGCCTTGTGATTTCACATCTACCTCGTGATTTTGCTCTATAAAACTTCCTTGAGCAGTGGACTCATTGGCAATCCACTTGGGAACCTGCTTACCTCTCAGAAGCTGTATCAATCCACCTCAAGAAATATGTCCTGCTCTTAACCTCCTGCTATTCCTTGGAATTCATTCTTTGACTTTGGGGAACATGAATTTAGTGTACTGGACAGCTAGCAGGTTGGGAGTTACATTTCCCTTAGATCATTTGGAGGTCCTGTGTCATTCCTAAGTCATTATGTTTCCAAGGTTGGGCTCAAACTGGCAATTATCTTACCTCAGCCTCTCAGAGATATTAAATAACTTTATTGAGTGTCTACGTAACCAAGTGATACCCTATCTACCCTAGTGATACCCTATCTAAAAGACAAAGCCAAGTGTGGTGGTACATACTTGTAATCTCAGCTATGTGGGAAGCTGAGGCAGGAGGATCACAAGTTCAAGACCAGCCTATCAATTTATGAGCCTCTGGCTCAAAATAAATAAATAAATAAATAAATACATACATACATACATAGGGGCTGGGGAACGTACCTCAGTGGTAGTATTATGCGCAGCTTAGATAGAAATTGATAGGCAGACAGGGCTGGGCCCTTGAGCAGTTAGTGCAGAAGGTGAGAACACAGCATAACTGTGGCTAGAGATGCATCCGAATAAAGCAAGGCCTCTACATTAAAGTCACAGTGGCCAGATTTACATACTTTTTTCCTAAGGGATAAATAGAAGTTTAAGATTAAGACAGGGTCTGGCTATGCAGTTCAGGCTGGCCTTGAGCTCACTTTGTAGCCCAGGCTGGCCTCAAATTCCCAATGATCCTCCTGCCTCAGCCTCTCAAGTGCTGGGATTATAGGCGTGTACCATCACCATCACGCCTGTAGTCAGGCATGGTAGTGCATGCCTGTAATCCCAGCACTCAGGAGGCTGAGGCAGGAGGATCATTGTGAGTTCTCAAGACCAGCTTGGGCTATAAAGTGAGCTCAAGGCCAGCTTCAACTGCATAGCCAGACCCTGTCTCAAAAAAAAAAAAAAAAAAAAAAAAAATTAGACTGTAATCATACCACCTCTTTGTGATTTCCCATAGGGACAAACTATTATGTTACTGAAGTGGATCCTCCTTTCTCACCCAATAAGACTAAGACTAAAAAGACTAAAACTGCTGAGACCAAGTCTAAGACTCTAGATTATCGACTTCCACAGATTTCCACCTCCCAAACACATAAAAGATCCCCAGTTCTCAATGAGCGCCTCATTCCGGTGAGCACCCGTGCTCCCTCTTGAGTGCGCCCCGTGTCTCAGTCTCAGGAAATCCTTCCCACTCTGACCTCCCTGTTGCGACCTTGGAACATGAACGCGACGCGTCGGGCTGGGAATGATATCTCTCCTGTATAAGTAGAGTGCTTCCCCAGCATGTGTGGGGCCCTGGGTTCAGTCCCCAATATGGAGAAAACAGATAAAAACACAACACAGTGTAAAACAAAACAAGAGGAGGGCCGTGGTGGGCGCTGGGGAGGGGATCACCTCTGGGTGCCCCGAGAGGAAGCCACTGAGACGCCGCCAGAAAGGAAGGCGGAGAGCACTCAGGGGCGCACGGCCATCTGAGTGGACACGTCAGCATCCTGGAGCCACAAGACGGGGGTGGGAACGGAGACAAGCGGATGAGTTAGAGGGATCTTGTGGCGAGAGATTGGCTGCCTAGATCCTGAGAGGAAGATGGGGTGGTGGAGCGGGTACCTGTAGCATCTAGGGTCTGATCAACAAAGCAGAATGCCCTGGGCACTAGGGCATAAAGCACTGATTGCTGAAATCAGACTGTGCACGTTTTGTGGGAATCACTGGGCATTTGAACATCTGGGAAGGAGAGTTGCAGGCTCAGAGGGTCCCCAGTCAGTCATACCGAGAAGCCAGCAGCGCCCAGCTGCCGACGCAAGACCAGGAGGGAGGTGGGGGAAGGGGCGCGGCAGCGTTTGCCCCTGGGGGTCCCCCGGCAGTGTCTGCTGCGGACCGGGGCTGCTATTGGCCGGCAGGGCCTGTGGTCCCGAGCAAAAGCTGGAGGCAGAGAAACGCGGACAAGGGCAGGCTGAACCGTGACAGACACCTCTGCATCTGGGGGAACACTCACCGACTGATGGCAGCATCCGGATACGATGTCCCCCAAATCTCCTATGAATTCCTTCCTCGGGCAGCTCCAAGTGGAACCACGCAGGTAAAGGGATCCTGGGAAGCATACGATCACACCTCAGCACACTGATGCTGGGAGAAGATTCTGGAGGAAGGGCAGCAGGGTCCGTTTTGAACACCCTGACTCTGCGTTGACTGGGACATTCCCACGAGGCCTTTAGTACAGGTGGTTTGTGCAGATTTCCTTGAAGTGCACCAAGCTGTGAGGGAGTCGTGCGCAGCTACGGATCAAAGACAGAAGGACTGAAGACACTGGCCAGCAGTGAAGCGAGGGCCTTCAAAAATCAAAACGAGGGGCCAGGCGTAGTGGCCCATGCCCGTCAACCTGGCGGCACGGGAGGCAGAAGGATAGTAAGGTTGAGCCCAACCTGGGCAGTGAGTGAGATAATGTCTCAAAAAAAAAGGTCTAGGATGTAGCTCAGTGGAAAAGCCCTGGGTTCAACCCTTATTATCACAAAACAAACACATAAATACACAGCCCAACCAAGACCCATAGCTCCCAGCCGGGAGGATGGTGTGGGCGGCCACTACCGGGCAGCTAGAAGGGAGAGTCCTGGAGAGCTGGCCCCAGGTACGTAGCACTTGGTGGAAAGGCAATTGGTCTGTCCAGTAAGGATGCTTTCTGGGAATGACTATTTTTAAGCTGTCACAAATTAGCAGACTAACAATCAGTTTACTTGATGTCACTCTTATATTTTCATCTTCTTACATAGCCAGAAGACTATGCTACTTTAGAATTTCCAGAGACGGGCTTGTGAGAAACACACTTTGTGACCCATTGTCTCACAGTTCTGAATCGCGACCGAGGTTCCAGGCGAGGCTGCGGACATTCCACACAGGAAGTGCTGACATCAAGCCAGGAAGCTCCTCCACTGCCACCCACCACCTCCTGCTCTGCACCCTCCACCAAGGGTCAAGGGACCCGGGGGCGTGCCGAGAAGGCAAAGAGAACATTGCCAGAGGAACATGAATGGTGCTAGTGCTTTCAGGTATTTAAAAAGGGTTTTGTTGGAGAACAAATGCCATTCTTTCATTATTCTACTGAGTTTCAGCATAACACATTTACTTTCTGGTGTACCATTTCATGCAGATGAAATTCATTTAAGCCAGACAAAATGGAATGCAAACATAATGATACTCCTGTTTGAAATGAAATTCACAGTCTGGAAAGATACCCTCACATGCCTGTGATAAAATATGATTTATCTGCGTATTTATTTAGATGTATAGCTGAGTTTGTGGATATTTTGCCTAATTTTCTTCTGACACATGTAGGTTAATCACTAATTTATTGAGAACTTACTATGTGCTTTGGGGAAGTCACAGAATCAGAATATTCAATTCTAGGCCTAACCTTTTTTTTTTTTTTTTGAGATAGGGTCTCACTGTGTAGTGCAGGTTGCACTTGCACTTGCTTAGGTAGCCCAGGCTGGCCTCAAACTCAGCGATCCTCTTGCCTCAGCCTCCTGCGTGCTGGGAATACAGGTGTGCGCCACCATGCCTGGCTCCAGGACTTTCTGAAATTGTAAAGAGCCAAGGCAAATTGCAAAGACAAAATCCTGCTTGAGGAGATTTTCACTGTATTATTCTTTCCCGATAAATATCTTTCATTTTCTTTGCAGAGTGTTTTGGAAAACAAAAGAATGGGATAGGAAAAAATCAACCTTTGATTCAGAGGAAGATACTTCATTTATACTTAAAAAAAAAAGGTGTTTCCAAAAGAAAGATTCGGGGGCATCAGAGGGCAGTGCAGATGATGAGGAGCAGCTGGTCTGTCAACAAGGGATCACGTTTCCCTGTTCCATCTGCAAGCAGGAAGTTGAAACCGCTGGTGCTTTTGTCCACAAGCAGGAACACATAGCTCTGGCTGCACTGGGTCTCCAGTGGCGGGGTGGGAAGAAGCAGCCAGCCTCTAAGATTGTTGCTCAGAGACAGATTTTAATTGCTAACCTGTTGTCCTCCTCTATGCTCAATGAAAAGGTCCTACAGAGCATTAATAATGCTTTTGAGCTACTTTGGCACAAACGAATACCAGTACAGTATAAGATTTTTGATACCATCCACAGGAGCTATGTATATTCTCAAAAAATCTATCATCTGTTAATTAAAGGAGTGGCCGTCTGTGAAGATAGGATTTCTACCAGGAAAACTGAAATGAACGATAACTTCATGATGATAAATAATTTTGGCAACAAACCCAACGTGTGTTTCTTCAGTTTGTTTGATGGACATCAAGGTGCCTCGGCAGCAGACTTCATGTCAGCAGAATTCCCGGTTTTGCTTCTCCACCAACTGTCTAAATTTGACCCTTGTTACCAGATGACCCCAGAACAGCAGCAAGTGGTTGATTCCTTTGACAGCATCTTTAGAGAGGACTATACGGCGATCGAAGATCTCTTCTCATCTACAAAGACAAACCCCAGCAGGCACAGGTGTAATTATGAGGATACGCACAAGGCCTTTGCAAAAGCATTTTGGAGGATGGATAAACTCTTACGTCTTGGAAGGAAAGAAGGCTCCAGGGTGCTGTGGAGTGGCTGCTCCGTGGTTACTTGCATACTGGAAGGCAAAATTAAATACCCGTATGCCAATATGAATTGGAAAAAAATCAACAGCAGGCATAAATTGGCAGAGAGCTTCCCCTCCCAGATGGTGCCACAAATAATTTCTGGAATATTACACATTGCAAACACTGGTATGTATGTTCAGTAGCACCAGATAACATTTTGATTCCTAGCAGCAAAATCCCTCCTGCATCCAGAATTTAGTGACACGTTATTTAATGAGTTTTCGCACTGATTAATTTAAGAAACAACAAATAACCACAGTTTAAATACAGTTTGTAGGCACACAACTAATTGTAAGTATTTTTCAAAGAGGCTTAGATATAAAATAATCATGCAAAAACATTAAAGTTTAGTAGGCTACAGTGATGTATGCCTGTAATCCCAGCAACTCCACAGGCTGAAATGAGATCACAAATTCACATCCTGGCTGGGTGTGGTGACTCATGCCTGTAAACCCAGCACTTTGGAGGCTGAGGCAGAAGAATCACTCAAAGTTCAAGGCCAGTTCGGGCTACATAATGAGTTCAAGACCAGCCTGAAGTACAGAGCAAAACCCTGTCTCAAAAAACCAAAACCAAAAAGAAAAAAAACCAAACAAACAAAACCAAAGCCAAAAATCCAAGTTCAAGTCCTTCCTGGTCAACAGTGAGATCTAACTCAAACTAAAAAATAAAAAGCAAATATACTATATATGCTTGGGTCCAAATAAAATGAAAACTGTTTGGCATACTTCTTTTCTTTAGGACAGTGGAAAGTTCTTTGACTATTCTGGATAATAGTTGTGTAAACTGATGACTTATTCCAATAACTAATACATTTGTAACAAATTATCCTCTAAGTTCCCTGGCCAAGTAACATCAATTTCATCTC